GTGTGTGTGTGTGTGTGTGTGTGTGTGTGTGTGTGTGTGTGTGTGTGTGTGTGTGTGTGTGTGTGTGTGTGTGTGTGTGTGTGTGTGTGTGTGTGTGTGTGTGTGTGTGTGTGTGTGTGTGTGTGTGTGTGTGTGTGTGTGTGTGTGTGTGTGTGTGTGTGTGTGTGTGTGTTACGTCAGTGTCTCTCCCTCCCCCCTTCCCCTCTCTCTGTCTATTTTTCTGCTTCTAGCTCTGCCACTCTCTCTCTCTCTCTCTCTCTCTCTCCCCCCTTACCTTCCCAATAATATCATTTCCCAGTGATCCTCCATATAAAGCACCTTCTCCTTGGCTGGCTATAATATCCAAAGTATTGGCCAGGTTCTCCAATCTCATGGTATCTCCTTCTTTATACGGCACCCCACTACTGCTATTGGTGAAAGTCTTTTTAAATTCGGCATCAAAGTCTTCATTCAGAGAAAGGTGAGTATTTAAAACATGCGCTGGAAAAGGAATGAATAGTGTTTACTACAAATTAAGTGGGCCAGTTTCAGAAAAGAATGTTTTTTTTTTGTATTTTAATACCAAAATTTTCAAATAAATTTGGATTAGATAAGGGTTTCACAAAAGAGGAGGAAAATGACCAGGAGCAAACTTTGCATCCCTTTTTTTTTATTCACTGAAAGGATATATTTTCAGTCTTAAATAATACTCATGTATTTCTAATGACAAACAGGAGCAGCATATAATTTAACTTTACTCCTACTCATGGATTTTCCCTGCAAACTGTCCAGTCATCATTTGGATGGCCGCCAGCATCACCAGACAGCCTATATTTTCAAAGATGGCTTGACAACTTATGGATTTTTTGGACATTTGACAGCTTTAGGCATGCCAGGACTTCCGGAAATTTTGTAGGAAATTACAGGTGCTAATTTTGGACGACCTGTACCCTCATTCCTGGGAAAAGCGCCTAGTACAACCCTCCTACAGCTTCATCTTGGGACAAAGTGGACAAAAATTTTGGTCTGAAAGCTCAGAGCAACTCTCTCCTTCAAATGTGTGTTGTGATAGTATTCCCAGTTTAAGGAAGGCTTGTATTTAAACAGGAGAGTAAAATTTAAAAAAAAAAATGTAAGTTTAAAAAGTTGGTCTTAATGTCTTACCCAAGTCCTTAGAAACTTTGAAACCATTTCTAGCCAAATCCGCTGCAGGTTTCACCAAGTCAGCCCAGGGCAGGCTAATTATAATAGAAAATGATCAGCATATCATGTATAAAATTGATTTTTGTTATAAGGTGTCATGTTTTCACATAAAAATATACAAGCCTCAATACTACTCAAATGCAGAAAATCCCATGCTAAATTTAAGAAAATTAATCTCCTTAGCAGCAGATAAAAAAAAATATATATATCTATATATATCTATATATATATATATATATATATATATATATATATATATATATATATATATATCATAAGATTTTCAACAGGCATTGCACAAATGAATTTCTAGTAAATGTGCCACTCCAAAGCTTGTAATAATTAATCTATTTAAGTAAAAAATTATTTAAAACTGTCACCTTCCATATGTATCATAAGCCTGTCTGAGTCCCTTTAATTCTCCAGGCACTGCCACAAATTTACCCTGAAATGAAGATAATTATAATAAGTCAAGTAAAGTTGATATAATATACACATCACTGAGATATAACACAGATCTGCTAATCTGTTTTTGATTTTACAATGTCTGTTGGCAGATAATTACTATCAGACTTTTGCCGAAGCAGTGTCATCAACTAGAATAAAGTCAAATTAAGTAATAGAATAAAATAATTCATTCATGTAAAATATCACTTGAAGACATATCTACACACCCATAACAAGACATAACTGTTACAACTTCTGACGGAAAGACATGAGTGTAGTCTATTGACAATGATCATGAGTTTAAACTTTTCACTTTCTACACAAAATTTTCTCACAAAAGCTTTGTGAGGTATAACTTCAGCTTTGTGTAGCAAATGAAAAGTTAATAATCATTAACAACAACAATAACAACAAATGAACACTAAAATTTAATGGGTATAACATTCTTTTATATTTACAAGATTGAATATGTATAAGCATTAAGATTTATACCTTGGTGGAATTGTTGTTGAGCATATCCCCTGTGGCCGCTGAAGGAGCAGATGACAGGAAGTTGAAGACGTCACTCTTCATGGTCATGTGACTATGTACCAACATGACGCCTCCTCTGAAACCAAACACTAAATACTATTATACGAAAATTTCTGAAACCTTATTTTTAAGAACACTTCAAGTAATTACAGTATATCTTTTAAAAATAAAAATTGTTATGCATGGATGCAATCTTTATACAATGAGAACAAGCTTCACAGTAAAGACCATGTTGATTTGATTCCGTAAACTTAAACTACCCTCTTTCAATAACATTTAAGAAAAAAAGAAGGAAACAAGTAACAAAGAAAATCAGAGAAATGCAATAAATGGATATCTGTTGTTTATTGAAATGAAATCTTACCCTCCTAGGCCCGAATTATGGGGATGTACAACACCAAGACAAAACATGGCAGCTATGGCGGCATCCACAGCTGTTCCGCCTCTCTGCATGATGTTCACTCCAATCTGAGAGCACACTGGGTTATCTGACGTTACAACTCCATGTGGTGGGACCTGCAGAATGTCAAAAATAAAAACCTGTAACTTTTCACTCCAGCTGGTCACTATGACTAGCAGAAAACTACTGATCTTAAAATAATTTTTCAAGTCTGAAGACTAAATTTAAATTCATTGGTAATAATCTTCAGCAAAAAATGCCCTTGACCTTGGCACAATTAAATGTCCTTGACCTAGATTTAGTGACCTTGATCTACACACAATGTCCTTGAACTAAAAATGGTTCCCTACCTGAGGGGCCCCAAGGTAAATCTGTAGAATTAAAGCCAGAGTGATGACGACTGCAAACGATATGGAGGATCCAACTATCACTTTTAACCCTTTGCCTTCCTTAGCCGGGCTGAATTTTAATCAAGAATTGATATGTTAGATGTCATGTGTCTTATAATTCTTCATTATTGAATTTATTATTAGGTCACAAAATAAAAACAATATCATTTCTTATTTCTTATGTGTAATGAAGTATTCTATGGCTTATAAAGTAGGTACAATGACCTTAAAGGTGAAATTGTTGTATCAGAAGTGAAAATTATTTGGACTGAATTTAAAGCAATTCCTTTTTGTCTCAAGAGAGAAAATTCCACACCTGAATTCTGTGTCAAACAATTACCAAAGATCCCCTTGTATTCTAGAATATTCGGTGTATTTTTTTTTCACAGTTCTAATGTTGTTCTGTAATGAATGTAACAGTCCGAAGAACTGTTTTCTTGGGAAGTCCTTCATAACGTCTTGGAACAGATCAAAAACATTTTTCATTAAAAGAGAAAAGCATTTATGTTCTAGGACAGATTGAGAACCATAAATGAGCGTTGAATGAGACAAACTTTTGCAGGGGATGTGACAGAGGTGGCATTGCATTAGGTGAGATAATACCATACCTGGATTGTGGTCTGGAAGGGTCCAGCAAGGTTTCAGCTGCTCTCTGTAAGGGCGATATCTCCGTATGGACGGGAGATCGTACCGCACTATTAATGCCCTGCATCGCTGACGGGTGACTCGCTGGGCCATCGTCTTCATTTACCAAGTTGGTTCTACCTGAAGAATCTATTTAGGAATAGAATGGTCAGTTAACAAGGAAAAATAGTTTAATTTTCATTTTTCATTCATTTTATTTTTTGTGTAAGGTAAATAAGAGGAAAATTCTAATTTTTCTTAATTTTAAACCCCCTTATTGACTGAAGATATATCATTTCCAAAACACTGTTTTAAACAACATAAGTATGTTCACTTTTACTGAAGAATTACCGTCACATCTCTATTCACTGCTATACACTTACAAAATAGCAGAGAAAAAAATCAATATTTGCAGAATCATCTATTGCTATTGAGCAATTTATATGTACTAGTAATTACATCTGTCTGCTTTATTTCTTCTGTGAGGTCTAAAATGATACCAGCTATATTGTGATGCCACAAGTTATCAGTGTCATTATTGTTATGACTAAAGTTATTAATGTCATACTGGTACAGCTCTTGAAATTACTCGAGGCTCAACTCAATAATAATAATGAAGACAAGGTCAAAACATGAACAACAACTCTGAGCACTAGTATGTCAAACTGTGAATGAAGGGCCTATGCAATTGCCATGTAATACAATGAAGGGAATGGGCAGTGCACCCTCAATTTTATTAAAGAGAGTGAGAGAATGTGTGTTACAGTATATATATGTGTGTGTACTGTAGCTTGTGTGCGTACTCAGCTGGTGTGTATGTGTGTTTGTGTGCAGCTGGTGAGTGCATCATGCCAGCATGCTAAATGCACATCTACCTGAAGGTCATTTTTTTTTTTTTTTTTTGATTTTTCACCATTTCATATCATTTCACTTATTTGGATTGGTAATGTAAATATTTTAGATAACAAAGTGAAATGTAAAAAAGTCCAACTGCTTTAATTTGAAACATATAAGAAAAATTCAAGCAACCGAATAAACTTCTTGATTCCAAAGGCAACTGCTATTTTGGGGCTCTTTATGTTAAAAAATACTAATGCAAAAATATGAGCAATGTAATTTATTTATTTTATTTTTTAACAATGTCATGTGTTAATTCCATGTTAATTGGATCTACTGATAACAAAAACTATCCACATCTTGACAATCATGGACACAAGGACTGCTTCTGGTATTCTTCAAGCGATATTTCTGTTCATCCTAATGCCANTCCCTGAAGGTCATTTTTTTTTTTTTTTTTGATTTTTCACCATTTCATATCATTTCACTTATTTGGATTGGTAATGTAAATATTTTAGATAACAAAGTGAAATGTAAAAAAGTCCAACTGCTTTAATTTGAAACATATAAGAAAAATTCAAGCAACCGAATAAACTTCTTGATTCCAAAGGCAACTGCTATTTTGGGGCTCTTTATGTTAAAAAATACTAATGCAAAAATATGAGCAATGTAATTTATTTATTTTATTTTTTAACAATGTCATGTGTTAATTCCATGTTAATTGGATCTACTGATAACAAAAACTATCCACATCTTGACAATCATGGACACAAGGACTGCTTCTGGTATTCTTCAAGCGATATTTCTGTTCATCCTAATGCCAAATAGCGTTATTTTTATTTCGACATAGTCATTAGAATATTTTTATTACACGGAGACGAAGCTTTTTTTCTCGTCCGTTTTTTTCTTGCTTACCTCCCTGAAATCCAGCAACTGCATCGTCTGTCACGAAAAATGGCTGGCCATGAGTGATTTCCGTAACAGCCGCCATCTCCCTTCACTCTAAATTTATACTACTACCTATAAATATGCAGTTTCTTCATCAAAACATCACAACTCTTAAAGTAACATATGCAACCTGAGGACACCTGTAAACCGGAACTACGAAACAGCTCATCTTGGATGCAACCCAAACTGAGGCTAAGAGGTGTCAACTGTGCGACTTCACTTCCACAGTAGTTACTTGTTTACTGTGTTGCGCAGGGAATTATTCCAACATTTAACAATATTACAGGCTTTTTCACTTAAAAATCAGAGAATTTATAGATCAGGGTGCCAACCATGGCCATGGAGGCAATAGAAGACGGTCCACTCGGCGAAGAAGAGGAGGAAATCGACGACACCAAGTTAGCGTTGGAAGGCGTTCATATGATGCTGAACAACGGGATACAAGAGGCTCGGGTTCTGTTTGAGAAGTACAAGTAAGTTTGGAAACTTAAACTACATGATTGAATATAGTTGAGGTGCTTTTCTGATGAGGCGTCCTTTTTTTACTCAATGTTGTGACATTAAAATCATCTTCAGTGACGTCAAGGTTACAAGGAATATTGAAGGAGAAAATGTAAACAGTTTTTTGTCTAATAATAATAATATTATGTAATACAATGTGCCACCCTTTTGGAATTTACATTTGTTGTTATGTCTCCAACAAATCCCACTCTCCCGCTCTTGCCAAGAGTTACCAAATACTCTAAACATCTTACAAGGGGACCCTCACAGAAAAATAATGTTGGTAACTACTATACATGTATAAAGACCCATCTGGTCAGTTTTAAAAATGGCTTAAAGGCCATAGCATTAAATAATTATGTCAGGTGTCTGATTTAAAATTTCTTTCATGTTTCTGGGGATAGTCTGTGTTACATCTCAGTAGTCCATCTAATTATGATTAGATTATTGCTTAATATGAAAATGTTATCCCTATATATTACCATAGACTATCTCTCTCTCTCTGTGAGTTAATTGTGCTGTCTGGGTCTCTACTGAGGATAAGTTTTAAGTTACTGCAATAATCCTGTTTATTAAAAAACCATTTGATCAGGAATGCATATATGAATAAATCTTCTGGATGATAAAAAATATAAACCCATTTAAAGTAGGATTTATTAATATTATGACAATGTGTTTTCTAGCACAGTTTTTATTGCTATCTGACAAAAGATAATCCCAGGATCCATGATTGTCTTCTTAACAGAAAATGCTTATTTATTTATTTATTTATTTATTTATTTATTTATTTATTTATTTATTTATTTATTTGAATTAAAATTTATAAATTTTGATGAAGTAAAGGATTGAAATAAGCAAGATTTTTAAATTTTATAAGTGAATAATTGCCTCATTGACTATTTTTACAATAGAATCTACTCACAGATAATGAAATCATTATCATTATCATTATCATCTTCCTGAAGGTCCACCATCTGTAGCATGGGCTATTTTTACAATAGAGTCTACTTACAGATAATGAAATCATTATCATTATCCTGAAGGTCCACCATCTGTAGCATGGGCTGGTTCTCTGATTCCATCATAATGTTGTACAACTGTGACCTAAGAATTAATAACAGACTGAGGCAGATGGTAGCACCAATGCTTCAGGCTTAAAGCTGTAAGATCCAAGTTTTTTGTATCAAAAAACATAAAATCGGCGAAAATAATTGTGTAGATTTTTTTAGCCTAAATAAAAGTTAAAGTTTTAAACATTTAGTGAAAAGTTTACGTGCAATGCTGAGCAAGGCCTACACAGTGATAGGGTTAAAGTGTAACTCGAAGTTGATTATGTCAAGTTAGTAGGTGTCCTTGAGTGATTTAATATTGCAGACTTTGGATCTGTTCTTTGATATATATTTTATCAGATTACAAAACTGATACCATAAAGTGATATGATTTGGCAGGCTCATGCAGAAGCATCAATATTAGATGATCCAGTTTAGCAGCGTTCATATAAGAACCAACTTGGACCTGAAACAGATGTTACTATGCAGACATATTGCTGAATGTTTTAGGTTTGATTTATGGCAGTTTTATTTTAATGCAGAAAGTGGAAATCATATAGAATATTAAATATATTTATACATATTTGAATAGATGGGTAAATGAATACAGTTGATGTTGGATAAAATATCTTGCCAAATATCGTGTCAGTTTTTCTTGTCTTATTTCAGAAAAAAATTAATTGCAGTAGCAAACATACGTTTTTCTTTCTCCAACTCCCTTTCACTAAGTTTTAAAGCAAATTAATGCAGTATCAAACGTGAATTTTTCTTTATTCAACTCCTCTCCCCTCATGAGACTAGGATCCATCTGTGTCTTTAGTACAAATTACTAACCCTGATTATACAAATACTGTATTGATTTTTCAAAGCCCCTCTTGTTGGTGACTAGTGTATAATTAACTTATTATGGTAATTGCTGTAAATTTTCAAACATCTTACTTTTTCTTACATTTTATGTATTCAAATTACATTTAGTCAGTGCACCTGCAAAAAAACTTATTTTCAAAATGAAGTCAACTCACTTTTTAGCAAAATTTTGAATTGACATTTTCAAATACATTTGAATTACTAACAAAGCTTCTTAAAGGGAAAGTTATCAATTCATGTTGTTTGAATTTTATGAGTAGTTACCATATTTGGAGGATCCTTTCTGATAAGTGGGTGGTTAGGTTAAGGTTTGAGTGGTGAGAGCAGCAATTTCTGATTGCTTGTTTTGAAGGAGGACGAGCTTAACCTTCAGACTATGATTGAGCGGGATCCATTAAGCTATAGACCCAATTTTTTTTAGTAAATTTGCATTCTGGCATGTAAAATAGATTTTTTTTTCAAACTGTAAAAAAACGGTAATGCTGTTGTTCAAAGAAACAATTATTGTTACTTTGGGCACACATAAAACTGTTACAAATAGGTTTGCTACAATCTTATTTGTACAACATTGGTTTAAGAAACAGTCAGTGAATTAATAAAAATGGCCACATTATCTTTTCCATCAAACAGTCATATCAGTTTTCTTGTGTAACCGTCCTCCGGCTTCAGACTTCATTTCAGTTAATATGCTGGCTCCTTTGTAAGGCTGGTATCAAAGATTTCAACAATGTAAGCAGTGGAATGATAATAATGCCCATGGGGCTCTTTCTTGTCACCACCCTTGTTACGCTGGTGTAAAAAAAATACCAGCAATTAAAAGAGAACTTGCAGACCTAAAAAACATGCCTTGTAATGCAAAATGTTATAAGATTGAGAAGAAAATTTAAGCTCAGACTGCAGGTAAAAAAGACCTTGGGGCCTTTGCTCTGCTGTTACTCACAGTAAACCTGTTCTGGAACAATTTTGATAAAGACTGGAAAAATTAATTTATTAATTCCCTGTAGTATGTTAAAGGTTTACACCCACCCTTTTGGGCTTATATAGACTTTCGTTTGTTACGTAGGAAATAGTTATTACTAGGTCATCATTCCAGCAGTGATTTTATTTACTTTTTTTACCTTCCAGAGATTACAGCCCATCCATGAATGCAGGGTACAGCTTCATCACTTTCATGGCAAGTTTCAATTTTATAAGACTTTTTCTAATTGATATTTATGTCTGTAAGTTTGCCCTTCTCTCTCTCTCTCTCTCTCTCTCTCTCTCTCTCTCTGTATGTCTGCTTTTCAGTTTCTTCTTTTGTTTCTCCAATTAGTTTATACTTAAAATTTTTCTCAGTATATCCCATTATCTTAAAAATTTAAAATATGGAACAATTTGTGATGAGTAACTTATTGATAAACATAATTCTGATAATTTTGCAATATGTCTGGTCTTTAGCAAGCAATGATGACATTTGAAGATGAAAAGTTGGCCGAGGCCATGAAGCTTCTGCAGCAGACACAGAAGAAATGTGAGCTTGGAGAGGGATTTGTGAAATACATGAAGAGAAAATTTTCACGAAAGAAAACAGAGGTTAAAGTAAGTAAAATGTGTTTGCATGCATTGATAGGTTAGTCAGTATTTATTTATTTATTTATTTATTTATTTATTTATTTAATTGTGTCTATAGCAGGAAAATAAGGCGAGTTGAATTATTTATATTACTATAAAAAGCATATATAATATTTCTTGAGAAGCAACTCTCTGGAAGGCAGATTCAGGGACATATCACTATGATCATCTAGTAATAATAACAATTACATATTTGTTTATTATAATTCCCAGGAAGCAACGCTCTCGCTGGAAGACAAATTCACACGTCAGATCATCGTGGCAGACTGCATGATGCACCAGGCCGTGCTGACGTTCATCAACCAGGACATCTCCAGCTACGTCAAGGGCGGATGGCTCATGAGAAAAGCCTGGAAAATCTACGAAAAAGTCTACAGAGAGATCAAAGCTCTCTATGACAAAGAGTCTTGGCCTGACGCCAACGGGGGCGTCGCCCTGTCGGCTCCCCCTTCTGCTGTGGATATGTCTTCCTTTGAGAATAGTTTGGACTCTAAAACTGGCAGCGATGAGACAGGCGGCTCTGCTAACATTCCACATAGTGATAGCAGAACCAGTATGTCCAGTATGTCCAGCACTGGAGTGAGTGGGGTTAGCGGTGACTTGTCCAAGGCGGAGCTGCACGGGGAAAGGCTGGCCCGGCTGATGGGTGCAGTCAGTTTTGGCTATGGTCTGTTTCAACTGTGTATATCTCTTATACCGCCAAAGATACTTAAGTTGATTGAATTTATAGGTAAGGCTTATTCTGTTTATTTCTTTCTTGTTATAAAATGAGCACAAATTGGTCTTAAACTGATTTATGTTAGATCAAAGTAGACTAAAAGTTGTAACAAATTTTGGGTCTAAAATTATTTTGTGATTCAGACCCCGAATTAAGTTTTGGATAGAGCCCTTCAATAGTGATTCTAATGGATCTGTTTCCAGGTTTTGGTCATATATAAGTACATTGTACATAACCACATGACTGCCTTGTGACACATTCATAACTGGGTCACTGTAATGTTATTTAATGGATCTGTTACCAGGTTTTGAAGGCAATAGAGAAGTGGGTCTGGCAGCAATGGAGTTCTCCAGCCATAGTAGTGATGCCAAGGCTCCTCTGGCCACGTAAGTATAGTGTACACAGTCACATGACTGACATCAACTCATTATAGTGATTCCTAGACTCCTTTGGCTATGGAAGTACATGGCACATAATCATATGACTATCGTGTGACATGGGATATTCCTGTCATAGTTGTGATGCTAAGGTATTAATTGCCTCAAAAAGTTAACACTCTCACTTACCACAATATTGAATGTGTTTGAGGTAATGGCAACTTCATCACCATGATTTAATTTTACATATTTAAAACTTAGATTGGGACTGCTGTGGTACCAAACTTTGATAATATATCTATAAATATTGATATTTCAGATTAGGACTGCTGTGGTACCATACTGTGATGATATATCTATAAATATTGATATTTCAGATTGGGACTGCTGTGGTACCAAACTTTGATAATATATCTATAAATATTGATATTTCAGATTAGGACTGCTGTGGTACCATACTGTGATGATATATCTATAAATATTGATATTTCAGATTGGGACTGCTGTGGTACCAAACTTTGATAATATATCTATAAATATTGATATTTCAGATTAGGACTGCTGTGGTACCATACTGTGATGATATATCTATAAATATTGATATTTCAGATTGGGACTGCTGTGGTACCAAACTTTGATAATATATCTATAAATATTGATATTTCAGATTAGGACTGCTGTGGTACCATACTGTGATGATATATCTATAAATATTGATATTTCAGATTGGGACTGCTGTGGTACCAAACTTTGATAATATATCTATAAATATTGATATTTCAGATTAGGACTGCTGTGGTACCATACTGTGATGATATATCTATAAATATTGATATTTCAGATTGGGACTGCTGTGGTACCAAACTTTGATAATATATCTATAAATATTGATATTTCAGATTAGGACTGCTGTGGTACCATACTGTGATGATATATCTATAAATATTGATATTTCAGATTGGGACTGCTGTGGTACCAAACTTTGATAATATATCTATAAATATTGATATTTCAGATTAGGACTGCTGTGGTACCATACTGTGATGATATATCTATAAATATTGATATTTCAGATTGGGACTGCTGTGGTACCAAACTTTGATAATATATCTATAAATATTGATATTTCAGATTAGGACTGCTGTGGTACCATACTGTGATGATATATCTATAAATATTGATATTTCAGATTGGGACTGCTGTGGTACCATACTGTGATACGGCAATTCTTTGCTTTAGATGGAAATAACATCCATGCAGGTAAGTCTGTATGACTATCTGTCTATTTGTCTTTTGGTAGGTTAGTCTTCCTCCCTATTTATTACTATCAGGCTGTGTTTGTCTGTCAGTCTGTTTGTCAGTATTCCTGTCTGTGTGTTTGTTTTTGTCTGTCTGTATCTGGTAGTTTTAAAAAGAGCTTTTTTACAGCCAGCTTTTTTCTTTTACAGTTGAATTATGTCAGTAAAAACTCACCTATTTATTGATTTAATGAATATGTTTTAGACCAATATCAATTAATTAGTATTTTTCCAGGAGTGGAAGAAGGAGAGAAGATAATTGAAAGGATAGAGAAGACATATCCCAATTCTGCTCTCTTCTTGTTCTATAAGGGAAGAGTTCAGAGGTTGAAGGTGTGTACTTGAGGGTTTTATTTTATTTATTTGTTTATTTATTTTCTGTAGCATTAACACAGGCCCTCCGTTGAATGCCATTTCAGTGAAATTGTAGCTTGACCAGTAAAATTTTGTGAATGTGTTTATTTACTGGCCAGCTTCTTTGACTCTGAGCTAGTAGGCCTCGATGTTTTAGGCGCAGACTGCATAAGGCCATTCCTGCCAAAGCAGTTTTATAGTATTAAGATTAAATTTATTATTATTGTTTTCTTTCATATATTTTTTAAACCCTTAATATGCAGAAATACTGCTACTTTTAGGGCGATGTGGATATGTCTATAGCCACCTTTCAACATGCCCTGGAGAGATGTGAGGGGGAGAGGGAAGTGCAACATATATGTGTATATGAAATGGGTCAGTACATTTTATAGCATAGCATATCAAAATCTGCCACAGAGGTCAGAAGAAAATGCAAAATTTAAAAAAAATTCAATAAAAACTTGTTTGCAGGCTTAAAAAAAGTATACATATTGAACAATGGCATCACCTTACTGTACTGTTTTCTTTAATATTTTATAGGGTGGTCAAATTTAATGAAATTAAACTGGAGAGACTCTTTTGCTGCATTTACAAGGTAAGAGACTTGATCCTATCAGGGCAAGCCTAGACTAGAATTAGACAAATTGATTACACCAGGCTGACATCACTTCAGGAGGAATTTAGACTAAGGGCGTATTCCCATAGATTTTAGATCGATCTATCCCCGTGGGGAGTCTCACTAGATTACTGTCAGCTAATCCGGCTTAAATGTCCGTCCCGCTTACTACAAGCTGTAAGGGGGTAATTAACTTTGGTGCCCGCTCGGCTGACAGCTATTAAGCGTGAACCCCCAGGGAGTTAGGTCGATCTAGTTTGGATCGATCTAATCTCTGGGAATGGGGTCTAAAAGAAAACTGAGTGTTGTTACGAGGATGTGATCATGCTGGGATCAAGCCAGACCTAAAATAGACTGATTGATGTGACACTGTCATGTTCACATAAGAACTAAATGCGGCTAAAAATATACTCCACCTTTAAAAAAAACAAGAAAAAACAAATCCAATGTGGCATTTTGGAAATTCAAAGATCAATTGCATTACCCCATGTCATTTTCATCTAGCCTTACACAAGAAGACATTGACAGTGTTCTTATTGGAATTAACAGATAGATTGATTGCATTATCTCTTGTCATTATCTCTTGTCTTCCCCCACCAGTGTGTCATGTTCACATAAGAACTAAATAAGACTAAAAATAATTAACTTTACCCTTCTTTACACAAGAAGACATTGTCAGTGTTGTATTGGAATAAATGGATTGATTGCATTACCTCGTGTCATTTCTCCCACCAGGATGAAGGAGGAGTCCCGCTGGTCCAAGGCATACTACGCCTACTTATCTGGGGTGTGCCAGGGATCCCTGGGGGATGTAAAGGGGGCACACACCATGTTTAGGGAGGTGCCGGCACTGGTGAAGAGGAAGAATAACCAGATTGAGAGCTTTGTGGCTAGGAGGGTAAGGTTTCTATGAAGGTGGTTTGGTGTGTGTGTGTGTGTGTGTGTGTGTGTGTGTGTGTGTGTGTGTGTTTTTTGTTTTTTTTGGGGGGTGCTGGCCCTGAAAGAATAACTGGATTTAGAGCTTTGTGGCTAGGAGGGTAAGGTTGCCATGAGTGTGTGTATTTGTGAGTGGAGTGGAGAGAGAAGTGTGTGTGAGTGAGTGGAGTGGATAAAGAAGTGTGTGTATGTGTGAGTGGAGTGGAGAGAGAAGTGTGTGTGTGTGGAGAGAAAGAAAAAGAGAGACTTGCTTGTTTAAGTAATAGAGTGGGTGAATGAGTGAGTGGATGGATGGTGGATCAGGGTGGGTAGGTAGGATGGAAGTAGTCACATGTATAGATGAATGATCAGGTGGGTGAGTGAGGGGATGATCGTTAATTTCATACAGTAAAAAAAATGACTTGATTACATTCTTCATCTTCAGGCTTTTAAGTGTGACTGAAGCACATGATTTGTCTCCTCTAACCTCTCAAAGAGTACCATTGTGAACAAATTATCAGTCATCTTCAGGCTTGAACACATTCTTTCTTCTCCAGTCTTTAAGAATGTTTTAGGTGTGACATGAACACATTCTGTGTCTTCTCCAGGCTAATACTTTCAAGAAGCAGGCACCTGACCAGGACCACTGTATCCTGCTAGGATTGGAAATTCTCTACCTGTGGAATGCTCTGCCTCTTTGTAGCAAGGACTGTCTGGATAAGATGATGGAGGGTGAGGCTTATGTTATAATAATCTTCATAGTGTAGAATTCAATAACTCATGGTACAGGGATGAGATTTTTCCTGACTATTGGCTGATTTCTGACTTTTTGGGTGGTTTTGGTGTTTACAACAATAGTGAGATTATTCCAACTATAGGGGGATTCCCTACCTTTTGGGAGTCAAATAGTCTCATCCCTTTAGTTAATCTTTTTTATGCAGACTTTTATTACTGATTTTTTTTTTTTTTTTTTTTTTTTTTTTTTTTTTTTTTTTTTTTGCAGAAATTTCTTATTTCAACTTTTGCCTTTATAGAGACATTTGATTTTCTATACTAATACATAAAGAGGTAATAGTAACTGTAAAAGTTGTTTATATTCAAGGTTCATAACTTGCAATCTGTTGTGGTAATTTTCTTCAGAGTGTTCCAAAATTGAGGACAAGAAGTTGTTCCATTTGCGTAGCTTGGTAGAGGGCGCTCTCCACAAGTTATCAGACAACGAGGAGATGGCTGCAGTGGTGAGTGCTGGCCCCTTGTGTTTGGTTAAGTGCTGCCATCTAGTTATTTGTTTTTAAAGGAAGTTTTGAAAAACAGCATTTTACATTAGACCTTAACACCAGACAAAAGTATAGCCTTGAAATTTTGAATATTCCTTGAGTGTCTGATGTAACATGGTCATTATTAGGTTCGACTTATTATTGGAGTGAATGCAGCCATATTGATTATAAATAAATCTTAACAGATCAAATTATTCAAGAAAGATGTGAACTTGTATTGTCACTATAAATCTTCTCCTTTATTTTTCTGTTGGAATATTATTATTATTATTATTATTATTATTATTATTATTATTGTAGTGTTTTGAGGAGGCCATAGCTCGTCACCAGGGTATGAAGGATGACCAGCATGTGGCTGCCTTTGCTATGTACGAGCTGGGAATTATACTGATACAGAAACCAGAGGTATGTTTTCTTAAAATTATACTGATACAGAAACCAGAGGTATGTTTTCTTAAAATTATACTGATACAGAAACCAGAGGTATGTTTTCTTAAAATTATACTGATACAGAAACCAGAGGTATGTTTTCTTAAAATTATACTGATACAGAAACCAGAGGTATGTTTTCTTAAAATTATACTGATACAGAAACCAGAGGTATGTTTTCTTAAAATTATACTGATACAGAAACCAGAGGTATGTTTTCTTAAAATTATACTGATACAGAAACCAGAGGTATGTTTTCTTAAAATTATACTGATACAGAAACCAGAGGTATGTTTTCTTAAAATTATACTGATACAGAAACCAGAGGTATGTTTTCTTAAAATTATACTGATACAGAAACCAGAGGTATGTTTTCTTAAAATTATACTGATACAGAAACCAGAGGTATGTTTTCTTAAAATTATACTGATACAGAAACCAGAGGTATGTTTTCTTAAAATTATACTGATACAGAAACCAGAGGTATGTTTTCTTAAAATTATACTGATACAGAAACCAGAGGTATGTTTTCTTAAAATTATACTGATACAGAAACCAGAGGTATGTTTTCTTAAAATTATACTGATACAGAAACCAGAGGTATGTTTTCTTAAAATTATACTGATACAGAAACCAGAGGTATGTTTTCTTAAAATTATACTGATACAGAAACCAGAGGTATGTTTTCTTAAAATTATACTGATACAGAAACCAGAGGTATGTTTTCTTAAAATTATACTGATACAGAAACCAGAGGTATGTTTTCTTAAAATTATACTGATACAGAAACCAGAGGTACGTTTTCTTAAAATTATACTGATACAGAAACCAGAGGTATGTTTTCTTAAAATTATACTGATACAGAAACCAGAGGTATGTTTTCTTAAAATTATATACTGATACAGAAACCAGAGGTATGTTTTCTTAAAATTATACTGATACAGAAACTAGAGGTATGTTTTCTTAAATGGTTGCTTACTGAATTGTATACACCAGCATCAAGCTTTTTATCTATATGTTTGCACAAACAATCTGCAAATGTCAGTTGAAGGACTACTATTCTTTGGGAGTATATAATAATATATTTTAAAAAATATGATGTAGAAAAGGAAAAGATATGGTATTTAATTTTTTTTCTCTTTTTAGACCCTAGCTAATGGAAAAAGTTACCTGCTCAAAGCTAAAGATGGATTCAAGGAATATGACTTCGAGAATCGCCTAGGAGTCAGAATACATCTTACCCTGAAAAGATTAAAAGAGGGCGCCACATCCTGAACAAAAACAACTATAAGAAATATATTGAGCATGTATCATATTTTGAATAAAGGTCACTTAACTGAAAGTGAAGCGACATATTTTAAGTACAATTCTAACTTTAAACAAGATTATATGTCATAGTCCAATGTTGGAGCGTTCTCTAAAGAAATTCAGTGCTGGCTATAAGCAGTATTTTCTGTTTTTAAAAAAAATCACTAAAGAATCCTGGAGTGAACAGGAAGCAGCAATGTGATAACAGAGAGATTTATGTACAGATAACCAAGGCTCGGCTGTGTTTGATACAGATGTAACTTTAAAACCTTTAGAGCACGTGATGGGCATTAGAGCTTTATACACCAAATATTGATTTTCCTAGAAATTCCCGCACTTTTTTTCTTTATCACTAAGATGCAATATATCCAAAACTGTTTGCAAAATTCAAATCTGTAAACCCCATTGAGTATTTTAAAAAAGTAGTTGGATAGTGGTGAATTTCACTCATAATGAAAAAAAAATGAAAATTTATAACTAAAAAACAGGTGTTTAGATATTTTCTCAGTAGTTTTGGATAGGATATATTTTGTTGATAAAGGAAAACTGATGGAACTTGTATGTAAGCCTTTAAATCATGCCTTCAGCTTTTGTCATTTATAATCCATACAAACAGTCATATGTATCAATTTATTTATCTGTAATGATCTTAGTTCAATTGATTATAGTTCAAGATGTAAGAGATAAGCAGGAATTTATTTATTTACAGTTAATGACTCGATCCTTTCAATGGGCAGATACATAATTTTAGAATCATAAAAAAAATATTTTCATATAGCATTAGTGATGCTTTTACTGTATGGAAAAAATCTTTAAGGTAGCATGCTTTTCAATTTTGTTGCTACCAATTAGTTGGAACGTTCAATTTTTAAGGATTTGTGACTTAAATAATACAGTATATGTAAAATTCACAATTTTCCCCCGTTGAAAAGATCAAGACATTACTGTAACAGTTGCCATTGGAAAATCAACTTTGTCTTCCTTAAGATGGCAAAATATGAAAAACCTCAAGGTTCGTGAAATGTAAATTCAAGTGATGATTTTAGAATGAAATTGTGCAAGGAAAATTATTTGTTTTGAAAGGAATTAGTTAACATATTTGGACTATTTCTGTTTTCCTTGGGATGGTTGCAATATGTAGTTTCTGCATGGATGATTTATCGTGTGTGCGTGCGTGCGTTCTCATGTGAGGTTGTTGACTGTGTGTGATACTATAATTAAAAATAGGTTTTGTTCATATCAGGACTCACTTAGATTTAAAACAAACTAATTTGCAACACCAGGTGGCCATATATTACATTTGTTCAATATATTTACCCAGAATTATTCAGCATCTGTTTTAATATAGATGTACTTATTTAAGTTGTTACTTCATCTGTTTTCACTTCTGTATTGTTTCTTAATACTTACTGGACGTGCACTGTAGCATTTTTTTTTTCAAAAATATTATCCAAATGAATTTTTTGAGTCAAATTGGTGAGCAAAAAATATTTTCACTTAATTTACTGAAGATGCCTTTGAAAATTCTATCAATCATTTGTCAAAAATGTTACATTTTTAGTGGTTGAGATTCTATAATTATAGCTTATTTTCAATGTGTACTCCAAAGATATACTGCTATACTCGAGTGTTCATGTTGATAGATATCCCAATAAAAATAAATAAGTAATAAAATTGCCTCTATACAATGAAGGCTGACTTAAATTACAGTAATAGGAGATTACAGAGAGTTATAGCTGTTTATATTTTACAGGGTTTGTTAAGAAAATGCTGAAATGTTAACAATAAACAGTATTGATGTTATGGATATGTAACATAAAAGGGCATTACAATCAACCGGCCATATTTGATCGGTGGATCTGTTATTCCGCTGTTCTGAATGCGGTCTATGATACTCCGGGTAATTACATGTTGATTAATAATAGGGTCTTCTGCCAAAAGATCTTAGGATTCTTGTGAATTTGTGTAGACTGTGATAATAATGAAACTTTGTCCAATATCATCAATGTGAAATATCATCAAGGGATTTTTGCTGGAAAGTTTGTTTGTTTGATTGTTTGTTTTTCCTCATTACCAATTGTTAACCAGCTCTATTTCTTTTGTGTATGTGTGTAATTTTGTTTAATTCTCATATATTTGTTTATTTTTGACAGCTTATTTCACTTTTCTTCACATTAACATGCCTAACATTAAGACACCAAATGCTCGCAATTAACAACTCTCTGTATTGTGTGACGTTAATGAAACAAATTTATTGTTTTACCATTATGATGAAAAAGGACAAGAAATATACAATAAAAGGAATTTTGTCCTTTAATGGGTTTGTTTTTGCCTAAATTTTAATGATGTACTAGTACTAATATAGTATGTCTGTACCGGGTACATGTACATAAAGCCATCATATCCGTGTCTGGACCTTGCAACCGCTGTGTTTGTGTCTGGTTACCTTGGTCTCTTTGAAAAAATGCTTTGTTCCTCCATCTTTTTGTTAATGAACTGATTTTGTCTCGGCGTGGAAATATCCTGTAGAAACACGGTGTGCGTGAGCTATTGACTCAAAATCTGAGGGTTTGACAAAAACAGGAAATTTGATTCTTTTTACGAATGTACTTCTAAATTGAGATTTTATAATACCTGTGTAACATGAAAATCTGACTCCCATGAAAATGTGACTCCCCAGTCAGATTTTCATTATGAAAATGTGACTCCCCAGTCAGATTTTCATAATGAAAATGTGACTCCCCCCATGAAAATTTGACTCCCCCTCCACAAAACTTCATACATCTTATTTTATTTGAGTATATGACTGTGATCTTGTAGTATGTAAAATGGATGATACGTTGGCACATTTTTTGTAGTTTGCAGTGAAAATTCAAATGAAAAAATAAGAAAAATAAAAATGGGCACATAATGAAAATCTGACTCCCCGTGAAAATTTGACTCCCCCATCATAAAACTTCATAAATCTTATTTTATTTTGGGTATATGACTGTAATCTTGTTG